TATTCCGACTTATCACTGGTCTCCCAGTTTTAAATTTTATAATTGAAGAAAATCATGTAGTCTTAATGGAACTAACGGTATACGTAGTAACAACTTTAATTCACCACTTTAATATTGGTATGAAAATTTTAGCATATCGCTGACGTAAAAAAGCTTTTTTAACACATCTTTTATTCTAATTGGCCGGAATACGTGTATAGATTTGTTAACAGACAATCAAAAATACATTATCAAAGGATCGCTGATGGAAAACGAGCTTCAGGAAGGCTCAAAAATGAACACATTTGATGCTGATAATCGTTTTTATGACTCGTCGTCTTCCTTATCCCGTTCAACAAGCGGAAAAAAAGACAGGCTCCATACCTTTTTTTCAAAAGGCAAAAATTTCTAAGCGTATTAATAGTGGCATCTTCTGAACTTGTTTAAGGAAACGTCGGCTCTAACAGTTGGAACGGCAGGGCTATTGGGGTTTTAAAGACTGTTGATAAAGTGCAATTGTGCTTTATTTTTCTATAGCAGGTAATTTTAAATTTTTTTTCGAATTTTAGATGCTTCCTGCTATAAAGGAGATATTTTAATGTCAATTTAAGTGTTAATTTATTATTTGAATGGATGCAAACAATACGATCAATTTTTTGTGCAGATGAAGTTGAAAAGATAAACTGAAATATTAAAGGTAAAATTCAGTTAATATTAGAGTTTTCAATAAAGAAAATATAGCCAATTTATTTCAAGCAGGTTATCAATTTGGTAAAGTTAACACTTTTTGCTCCTGAGGCATCCTTATTGCAGCTGCTAATGAATAATATCAGGATTTCAGTCTTTCTTGTAAACTTTTAACTCCATAGTCGATTCCCATAGCCAACATTTTTGAAATTTCTAGAGGACTATCCAGCTGCACGATTTAAAACTGATTTAAAAGCTTCCTCTAATCTCTTATCAAATCATACCTATTACAAGAAGACCATTAGTACTGCTTCTGCCGTTCGCTGGTTACTTCCACTTTGCTTCAGACTGCACCTTCTTTTTATTTGCTCCTGGACATTCTTTTACTGTTGGGCGATCAAATTGCCTGTTTCTGACTTGCCTAGGTCTGCTGTTTGAAAAGCTGCCTTTCATATCTATGTTAAATAAGTAACTAATGTTATTTAATGTGGTTTGTAATAGCTAAGCCTGTTTTCAACGGCTCTCTCATTTTAAAAATGGGTTCTGATTTATTCTAAAGTTTTTCTATCCTCTTCTCAACTTGTAACAGAGTAATATTTCTTCTTCATTTGGCGTTCTCAACTGCCACTGCTATTTAGTGCAGGAAAAGTATCAGATTGTATAAGGTATGGCGTCAATCGAAACTGCTTTTTTTAACGGATTGAAATTTCCAAATGTCTCCTACCAGTAAGATTTTAGGGACTATGCGAGATGTCTTTTTGAAGGTAACTTTAGAACGGAGCTTAAACATATACGAAGGTCCGGTCTAATTGTATTAAAACATGAATGAACAGTTATCAACTATTAATTTCTATTTAGTATCATTATCTTGCAGAATAAAGTTGAAATTTAATTAACGGTCTTACCACTTCACCTTCTTTCTGGTTTATTGTAGATATTCAAAAAACTTTGGAACACAGTCGAGCTCATCTTGAAAAGCAACAAATAATATTTCTACTTTCTGCATACAAAAAAAAATCATTCGATAAACTTAATAAATTCAGTGACGTTATAATTGTCGTTAATGGTAAAAGCGAACTGTTGTTTGTTTGCTCGGCAGTCTCCCATACGTTACTGCTAAAATATGAATCAGATTTTTGGACTACATCAAAAAATGCAGCTCATGGGCTTTTAGTAAGAAGCAACAGAATGCTCTTCCTTTGTCAAACAAATTAGGTGAACCAATAAATCTGCACTATCAAACAACAAAAATCTACTGCACAAATTTTCTTCCTGATCAGTGCAAGCCGACGGGTTTTTTAAATTACATTCAATGCTTCCAGTTCGTGAGTTGACCCAAAAAAATCATTGACCACCATTGCTGTCAGATCAAATCAGTGAATTTGTTATTAAAGGGGTTTGAAAAGGTTTTTAGCTATTTAGAGGTTACAGAATACAACCGTGTCACTCATCCCAGGCTTTAGGAACCTTGAATACGTCTGTAACAGAATCTGACTCCGACTGGAAATAATGAAACTCAAGATGACAAGTTGGAATGGTTATGGGTAAGATTCTGAAACTTAAATTAACAAAAAAACTCACAAGGTTCTTTTCCAACTTTCTTGTCGAACTACCCGTTCTTGTCAGAAAAATGGCAAAAACTCTCCTGTATTTTAATGACCATTGGCGACACAACGTCCACATAGACGAGGATAGCAGACACGCATTGTAACGGACTTTACAAAACAACTTGGTTCAGTTAAATGTACCGTTCAAACTTTATTCTATTTGACCTGAGAGAAAATATGGTTCGTCAAACTTTTTGAACTGCTGTTCAACGGTATTTGCACTGTAATAAATCTGAACTCTCAATGCTTGTCATTTTCTCAATCTCATCTTCTACCTCACATTACCGTCCAGTGGCTAACAGCTTCAGTTTAATACCCATTTTTTTTTGCTGAGGAATTATAAAGTCAATGCATTTTAGATTGCAGATTTCTGAAACTTTATGATAGCTTCAATTTTATTTAAATTTAGTTGGTTTGTGAACGGTGTCCTTGAATCTGCAAAATTCCTGACAGAACTTTTGACTGAGTTAGTGCAGCTGCATTACAATAAGTTTTTGACAGAAGAAATTGGTTCATGATTTCTTCACTTGATTTCATCCCAGCAGATGTAACGTCTAATCTTAAGAATCTCTAACTGTGGGCCTTCTTTCAGTTCCCAGTGTAAAACGTTTAATGCATATTGTTCTCTTCATTCTACAATTTTCTAGTAATTTTATGTTTTTAAAATTTTGCGCTTCTTTATCTGAGCTTGTGTAGTTTGCACATAATTCTGGGACCAGAAGACTTTGAATTTTATATGAATTTGATATAACTTAGTGTTGTTCGCCACTGACAAAAATAAAAATTTCTTTACGAATTCCTAACCGTACAGAAAAGTTTAAAAACTTTGGTGCTTTGGCAACATTTCACTTGGCAAAGAAATCATTCCTTCGAATTTTTCTTTCCACTCTTTCAAATCTGTGGTCGGACTGCGGACCGGCAGAAATGAATAAAAAATTTGAATATCGTTTCCTAAAAAGTGATTAGAGTCGCTTGGCTTCATGGCTTTTTGAATATGGTCAGAAAACCTGAAATTTAGTTTCTTTTAATACTGGGTACCCTAACTCGGTCATGCGGAAATAAAGTTTTCAGTTTTTTCTTCTAAATGCTTTCGGTTGGTGCTTTCTGGTTTTCAAAACGAACTGGTAACGATAAGGAAAGTATGGTGAAATGAGGTGCGTAATAAACGTAAAGAAGCATATGTTAGTTCGGACTATGAACTGTTTTACTTCAGAAAATAATGCTTTTAAATTCAAGAATTGCAACAGATTTTCATTCTTATAAAAAATGTCATTTTGAAAGTGGAAAAATTTTAAGCTCTTGTGCTTAATGAGTTTCAAAGTTTTGTCGCAAGAGAGTAAAAATTAGTGCTGCAGCGAGAAGACAGTAAAATGGTTTTTTTTTTCTTTACTTTAAAGCAAAGTAAAATTTGCTTTGAATCCGCGTAGGTTCAAACATTTCTAATTAGGTTACTTTATGCTTAGATCAAAGGAGCTGCCTAAAAGGAAGCTAGTACTAGCGAAATAAATTAGAACAAATAAAGCACAACTGAGCGTCATGCAAAGATAGGCGTTGGAAGTCGAAGACGGAAATTCAGTCACGCTAGTGGTCATGTCATTCAGTAAGATAGCTTCCACTGCACTGTTGTACCGTATTAACGAAAGATTTCCAAGCTGTTTACGGGTCTAAACACATACAGATTGAGCGCTTACGTCGGTAGAAACAAACGAATAGAAGCCGTTCTGTGAAAATCTTTGAGTTAGGTCTGTTTGTGCTGAAGCAGTACTCCATAATTTTAGCGCCAAACAGGGTCCAGAACAATTTTTTTGATAGTAACTCCTCCCTTATAAATTCACTTCGGCATAGTGGCCAATCATCTGTCTTAGAACCGACTGATCGGTTAGATAGATCTGAAGTGGTCCGTGTACATTTTATAAGTGAGTCCGCTGCTAGTGTAAGACAAGCGGTCTTCACTGGAAAATTGAAAAACTGTAATCGCACACAATAAGCTGTAACAAAGTTAATTGTGCTGACGTAGATTTAAGGAATCTGTGGTGTTGAGTTGATATTGTTGACTGGTGGAGTGTGTTATTGCTCACGACGTTGTCGACTTGGTAAGGTCACTGCAACCCCACTTTAATGAGGTTATTTGTCAAAGTGCATAGTTGTTGTTTCGGTATAACAGAACTGACCTCTTCTCCTGGTGTTGGACATCTCGTTTTGCCTAATTTTTTTTACTATTCTTTTCGCCAGTGATTGACTAACTTTTTTCATTCATTTTTCATCTTTTACAGTATTAAATGCTTTCAACTGTTAGAAAAAAAAGGAAGTTAAAACGGCTGTTTTAAAATTGAACTGAAGCTTGATACGACGAAAATTTTGGCACGGAACTTGGGAAAAAAAGTAATGCCTTTTAATATTTGTGGTTTTTTTCTGTCTCACTTCACGCATTTCTGTTTATGGTTTTTATGATCTGTGGTCTCTACTTTTTTAAAATTCACGTCTGATTTTTTGAGGCACATTAAGTTGCACGAGCTTTGATTAGTTGGTTCTTTAAGATATGGCTCAGTTAAGACGAAGCGTTAGGAAATTTCTCCTCCAGAATTGGTACTGTGCATATACCACAGTCGTTTGAATGGTTGTCATCGTTTTACTGGGATTTTTCTTGCTTTCAATTCCTCTTAATTTTTCTTTTCTTGCAGTTAGGGTTGTATATAAGAGATGAAGAGTAGTTTACTTTATTTATTAATGCCGATAATGGTTTACGGAGTTCGAAAAGATGACTGTGAAGGTGAGGCTTTTAAGAATTTAACATCTAGCAGAATAAATGATGATTTCTTTTTTTCTTTTTATTAATATTTTATACTAAAGTAGTGACAATTAGACTTTTCAGTTTTAAAATTGATATAGATAATTTCACCGACTGAATCGGTAATTATAAAAAAGATCTTAGTTCTTGCTGTTTCTGGCAGAAAATTCTGTGGAAATTACTTTTTTTCTTAAAATACTTCAGAATTTTTACGTTAAAGAACTTACTGTTTAGTATGTACAAAGGTATTAACCGATGCGATGGCCACAGTTCCCAATGCAGATAAGAGTGACCATAATAAGATTGCTGAAGCTGTTAGGCAACATTGTGGTGGTTTGAAAGGCAAAGAAAATAAACTGGTATGTTGAATGATATAGTAAGTAAAATAATTCGTTGTTTTTTAAATTATTTCCTATATTAAGGTACGTTTTCCAGCGTAGTGATTTTATTCGTTATTTATTCCTTTGCACAACTTCCATAGTGTTAGAAGCAGCTTCGTAGTGTACCTTTTTAGTGTTTCTATATTGGTGCATTGCCAGAATCGGCAACTTCGATAATGAATGAAGTTAGTAAACCTCTTTCATGGTCCATGCCGCCAGAAAAAGTGTGCGAGAAGTTACGTGCCAAGGATGCTCAAATATGCGAGTTAAAATATGGTTAGATATGATAATTTTTTGTAAGGGTTTACAAAAATGACGTCAATGGACGGAGGTTTCGAAGTAAATTGATGCAGTTTATTTTGGAAAAACTAGTTTTGTATAATGGCTATCATTTTTTATGTTTTTAATTCAGTTCTAATTCAGTTACTTTGAAGCTTTAACTACATATTGGTTATCTCTCTTTTTGTTTCAGATAAGGCCATTGATTGGAAAACAGTGGATTTGAAGAAAATGAGAGTGAAGCAGTTAAAGAAGATTTTAGACGAGTGGGGAGAGGTAGGTGTTTTTTTTGCCAATTCATCATTCAACTTATTTTGATTAGTTAGTTAAAATTTCGATTAGGCTTCAAGGATAAAACTTGGTTTTTTGAAGTTAGTGCTACAATGAAAAAGTCAAGTGTTTTAGAGTTGCAAGGGGTGTACCGAAAAAAGTGAGTATATTAGGAAGATCGAGGAGCTAAAGCCGAAATTTGTGAAAAGTGAATTGTAATTTAATTTATTTGATATAAAAGTAGATGTTTTTGTACTATGAGTTGTTATGCCTTAATTTATTCGTAATTGTTATTGTTCT